ATGTATGAACGGTCTATCTAGTGATATCGTCATCTTTAAATAATATGCATTTTTTACATTTAATAAGCTCTCGCCTGCTCCTTCTCTTCAGTATAAATCAGAGGACTCTGCGAATGCCAGTATTGAATATCATTGTACCTCCGCTGAGACACACTGCCTTTATGGATGACTTAAAGTGACAAAACACGCGACGAAGAAGACGACTATGACTGGGAGGCAGATTTAGACTTTCCGAGTGGTTCGAGCCGGAATCCCTCGCAGCTAAGATTTTAAAGTGGAGACATAAACCAAAAGTATAGCCCACGCTTTGTATGTGTAAAGATTAGGAAAAGCAGAGTATTCGACTTGGGGGTAAAAACAGGGAGAGAGAGGGAGACAGTTTTCCCTAGACGAGCGGCGCATACGGGGACAAAACCAACATGGAGTGCACACAGAGCTCATGCTAAACAAACAGACTATGATAGCAGCACAGTGGGACAATCCGGGCCACACACAGCATGCTGAGAAGTTTAAGTGCCGGGCGCGTGGCTAAAGGTTAGACACAAGTTTAGGTGTGGAGGAGAGGAAATGTTGAGACAGGGACACAGCTGGAATGAAATGTAAAAGGCAAAGCAAGTTATAATGGGAAAACTGGTCCTTCAAACTACAACATAATTTAAACCTAAATTGAGTTTAATTTTGAATAGCCGCTGTATTGATTTGTTGATAAGTTGATAAGTTAACTACTATTTTGATGATATAAGACCACACTAACTTGACACCCTTATTCTCAGGGGAAAATTATTTTGGGAAATTTGCAATGAAATATTTCAAAATATATCTTACTTAATCCTTTTTTTCTGCTTAAGAAATACTGTTGTGCAAAATTATTCATATTTTACTACTTATATTTTTCCATGTAATTTCAATTTGTATATATATAACCAAATGAAGTAAGACTAGTAATAACTGCGATGTATTACAATGTGAACACCTAATCAGGATCCTAATCAAGCTAGTATCTGGTAATATTTATGATAAAATACAATCCATAATCCATAGAACACTATATACACAACACATGACACCAGATTTGCCATATTTACAGTACAGGGGGCCAGTGGTGTTTTGCAATGCAGCTACAGTAGAACAGTGGTCTCAGTCAGTTCAGTAGGGCTTGGGTCTGACGGATTAACAGTGTGGCCTGCATGGAGCTTGGGGTAATCTCTCCACTCTTCTTACATAACACTGGGCCATTAGTCAGCACAAATACACAATAAACCATGCAATCAACAACAACATGCTACCCGCATCCCAGCTCTGCATCGCACTTACCAGGTGTCCCATTATAACACAATATTGAATGCCATAATGAAGTGCATATTGTGGTAAAACTGCTGTGTCCCGCTGTCTTTTTAGTTTTCTATTGTCAGAGTCATTTTGTAACTCCTCCACTCTCCCTTTTAGTCGCTCATTTGCCTAAACCTTACATAAACAACATGTGTAGGTCCCTGGACATTATAATAAAGACAAACAATATTTAACCTGGTAAATAATTTGAAATAATGTCATTAAAGTTGGACATATGGATTCTTTGAAACAAGCGACTTCCGTTTCTGAATGAGCATTGATCTGGGATGCTTCGGGATCGGACAAATCAATGACTGCCACTGCCTCTAGAGTAAACGGGAAGGGACTAATGCTATTGGCAAGAGGCCATCAAGCGTAGTATTATTGTAATTATTATTATTATTGTATTGCCATTATTGCAAGAGCATATTTTTAACACATTTTTATAAATGACTGTAATGTGCAAAAATTATGGAATGAAGAAAAAACTGATTACATACTCAATACAATACACACAATAAAAAGTGCACAAAAAATCTTAAAATTTAAGCTAAGTTAGTGTTTTCAACCCATTCAGGGTTTCAGCTTCCTGTTATATGCAATAGTTTGAGGACTTTTTCCCAATTCAAAAAATAATATGTCATTTTAAATTGTTAATCGCTATGGCAACAGTCCTAATTTGTCACCATTCAGAAACCCATGGATATCTTGAAATGGTGCAGGCTATTAATAAAACTTTATTATTACTAAGTTTTGTTCATGTCCATAATTTCTCTTATAATTACTCAATTTTGTCAAGAATGCAGTATTTCTTTGAACAAAAAGTCACCTTTACACACACATATTTTTTTACACTGTTTAGCAACAAATAACAACTAATCTGAAAATTAGTAACACCAAATGAGATCTGACCCTAAACACTAACAGTCATACATACATATCATATACAGGGCAGGGACTTCCCCTTTCCCTGTGTCCCGACTTGTCCTGCTATCTTTTCCCAGAATGAAGAGGAGTGCGGGGGATGCTGATTGACACATATCGCTAACGTAGCAGATCAAGTGGCCCCGATCTGCCCTCCTCCATATCCCTGCCTGTATATGGCTGAACCCTGTGACCTGGCTGCCCTCTGCATTTATGGTGTAAGGGCTCAGAAAAGGGAGCTTAGCCAAGGGTAACAGGCTTGAATATACACAAGGATCACAGCGAGGGGAAACAAGGAAACTATTGACTATGAAAAAGACACAGCATATAGGCATTTGAATTACTCACTACTTGAGTAAATTCATTGTACTTCTTTGAAATGTTTTTTTTTTTTTGAGTAGAATTTCTTGAAGTAGCAAAAGACTACATTTTCTGGCTGCACTATGCAGCTTGTGCATTTATGGAGCCAATTATGGCTTTTAATTGAAATATTGTTGTTGTATGCAAATCATAATACACTGTAAAAAAAATAGTATATGCTTGAATGGGTAATAGAGCTTGTGTAAAAAAGTAACTGAAGAAACAAAAATTAAAAAGGTAAAATATATATCAAACTAAAAATGTAAAACAAAGGCAAAAAAGCTTTCAAACTATACACACATATAAATTTCATATATTATGTACATATAAATATATATTTAAAAAAGAGATGGGCAATGTCTGAAAATGTAAAGTACTTTTACTTCAAAGTATTACTCAACCTGAAGTAAAAACTCATGTTACTGTGAATGTAATTGTAACAGAGCAAATGTACAAACCCCCATTTATTACCCTCAAACTTGAGTCTGTATGACTCCTCTTATGGTGACTCATATCCACATACTGTCAAATCTATTTTACTCTGCCAGTGCTCTTCCTTTCGCTTCAAAAAGCCCTGTTTGCTACTCATCCTCATCATGGTGCCATTGAAATTACAAAATTAATCCTGTTTACAACCTACACATCCCTGACACACACGGCAAACACAAAGCTCCATTTTGTAGGATGCAGAAAAGGCCTGGTGATGTTACATTTGTGTGTTTTTGTCCCTTCCGGTCGATGGGGTGACATCATGTTCAGTCAGCGAGCTTCAGGAGCAGTGGCTATTGTTAAATGATAATTACCACAGCTTATGAGGGGCCTGTATTTTTTATAACCTTGTGGCGGTGAGCGCATTTCCCTGCACACACACATCTTTATACACAGGTCGGGAGTGGGGGCCGGCGCGTAGCCCACTCTGATTTAATTCTATCTGACAAAACCCTTTGGGGCGTGCAGAGGCAGGCAGAGAGAGAGAGAGAGTAAGATGGAGAGAGGAGCAAGCATAGACACACACATGTAGCAGAGCAGGACAGAGAGAGAGACGCTTCAGGGGCCTCATCGGACGTCCAGTGCTTTAGAGTGAGAGCTGCTACTGCTGCTTTTGGTTGGCCCCCCACCCCAGAGACCCCCTTCCCAAACATGCATGCACGAGAGCGGACGCATGGCCCATCTGAAAGTAGACTGATACAAGGTGCATGGACAGAGTAGTGGGCCTCAGGACCAGACAGACAGGAATGAGAGAGGCCTCCACATGCTTTTACATGGCCTTGAATCCACAGACAAGAAACACATGGACATATGTAGATGTAAACAGGCATAGAATAGATAAATGTTTAGATGTATATTTAAAGATAGACACACAGACAGATAAACTATGAACAAATGGGCTATGTTACAAAAGTATAAGCTAGTAATATGTAAATGGACAGACTTTATTTCTACAGAAATTATTGGTGTAATTGATGCAAGCTAAAATATACAGTAAATAGCAATACTTTGTATCACTTACACCTGAGTTTCAGTTTTATCAAAATGTTCCAAAGAGCTAGGGATGATTAGAAAATGTACAAATATGTGAATGAATTAATGAATTCAACACTATTAAGGTAATAACACAATCTAGGAAATTGTGCATACTGATTCCGCTTGGCCATATCTCCACGTCTGTAATTGTCTAAATGTCAGGTTAGGTCAGAGAACATTGGGGTATTCATTAGACACAAAACAGTAGCTCAGATAGGGCCAGTGTTGCAACTTGACATCATGTTTAATTGCTCAATATTAACAGTAAATAACACCAACCCCAAAAGCCGACATCACCCACGTGGCCTGTTCCAGTTATTCCCAGCAAACAGAGACGCGCTGCTTGTTCATATTTACCCTGGACATTTAGAGAGCTGAGGCCTGTCTGATGGTGTGAGCGCGAATAAGGACATTGACGCTGGATTTGAACGTCCCCGGCGCTGGGCACAGTGTTGGAGAAAATGGGTTAGTGGAGCGCGTGAAAACAACTCTTGAAGAATTCGATAAAGTTCGACAAAGAAGCGATAGGAAATGAACAGAGCGAGTGCGTAATCTGATGTGCAATTTCCACTGGTGCTGATTTAATAATTCAAGTGAAATTTAATGCCGTAGGTGGCCTGTGTTTAATTCCCAGCTACGGACTCAAATGATTTACATTAGGCCAATTTCAGCAAATCAAATCAATTTGTCAAAAAGAAGCCAAGTTGAAGAATTAAACTTTATGCGTTTGGAAGCTAGAAAAGAGACTTGCACGTGGAAGGCATGAGTTCGGAAAGTGAAACGTCCTGGTTAAAGTTTGGGGGGAAGCATGGACCTGACCCGTTCACGTTACGTGTTTGTGCGGTGCAGGGAATGGGTCTTACCTCGCATGGTGTTGGCGTCGCTGGAGCTGGTGCTGAGAGTGGCTTCCCAAAACAGCAGTCATGAAGAAATAAACATAAACACTTAAAAGGGGAGGGGGTTGATGTTGGTATCGGACGAGGGGAATGATCCTTGTATTTAAAAATGTATATTAAAATGAAAAGTGCTGGCGTCGTTGCGCGTCCACGGGCTGCCCTGAGAGGAGACGTCTGTGCGCTAAAAGCATCCCAGAGCGGAGCGTGGGGAGGCGGGCTGGCTGAGGTCGGTGAGCAGCTCGTGTCTTGTGCTCGCGCTTCTCATGACATCTGCGCTCTCACCTCTGTGGGAGGGTTTCACTGTTTTCTGCGCGCGAGAGGGAGGGGAGGGAGCGCAGAGCCACACGAGGTTGGAGCTGGACGCACGGATTGGACCCAATCTCTTTGCTCCGCCCACTCTCGCCTGCTCTCCACGCGCACTCGCGCAATACGCGCGCACGAAGACGTTCGGCCGCTGCCAGGGCACAGTACACTACAATTAGTCTTGTCACTCGCCACAATTACAGGTAGTTTATGAGAAATAAATGTGTTACAGTTACAGGACGTAAAACAGTTTAGGGATATTTCAAGGCTTTGCAAACATCCCATCATTACCCCAACTTAATAGGCTACCTCTTTTGGCTGATTGTGATAGCAACACTTTTATGCATATTATTTATGTATATTTTCACATAATTCAATAACATATCTTGTTCTGTACTTTGAATTACTTTCGTCATGAATTGTGTTCTAAAGTTGCCTTGCTTTTTGGTGGGTTACTCTAGGTTATTTTCAATGTCTTTTTTCTTTCAATAAAACAAACATACCAATACTTATTTTCACACTAAGTCTGTACTTTTGCCATGTGCTGCTGCTGCTCTTCAACGTCACAGGAACCAGTAACTACAAGCTCAAATGAGATTAGAAGGAACATAACATAAAACCAAAGTATTTTAGTCTGTCTATTATAAGTCTAATTAATCGTCATTATTGGTTTAAGCAGCTAAACAAAATACAAACGACTGTTACACTTTAGTGTAAAATATATCATACAGTATATACAGTAGGACTACTGCCAGAAAATCTAGAAAATTAAGTACTATTATGCATAGAGGGACTCATAGCAGTCATTTACCATCTACTTTAAGCTTGTCTTTTTAATTGTCTTTAATTAATTTTATTAAAATTATTTATTATTTCAATAAATAAAGTTTTTAAATTAAGCACAATTAAACATAAATGTATGTTTCACTGTTTCCTCAAATGATTCAAGTCTAGCATTTGACTTATTTGCATAATGACATCTTTTATAACGGTTCATGCATGTTCTTGAAAAAAAACTTGTTGTAAAATGCAGTCACCTCAAGCTGCAGGTTAACCGTTGTTAGTTTGAAAGCAATCAATTAATAAATAGAAGAAACTGAACAGAATGTGCATCCTTATTAAAGACTCTACTTGATTTTGAAACATGGTTCATTTCGATCCCTTATCTCTGTCCACAGTACCTTCTCCCACTCTGACTATCCCAAACAGAGAAACAACTGTTTGGGATAGTCACACGCAGTTGCTTCATTATGACCTTTGTCTGGCAGTTCATTTTGATAGCATTCTTGATTATTACGTGATGATTCTCAACTAATAAATGTCCATTAAATACATCTGTAAGAAGTGCCATTTAGCATATTTTTTTCCCCCACAAGTAGCTGCAACTTTACTTTCAGAGCTAAGAGCCAGAACTAGAATAGAAGTCAAATATAGCGCCTTTAAATCAAATAGAGTTATCCAGTAAATAAGAACAATATTCATACAAAATCTACTGTATTTGTAAGGGTTAATTGTAGGGTTAGTTGTAGTTTCTTCAACACTCATTTTTATACGTAGGATAGTTTTGACTCCATAAGTCTATAACTTGTTTATAATCCTATGGATAATTTTCCTGACTAAGGACATTTTGTGCACATTTACATGTCTGATCTAGAACTATAGCGCAACACCGATAAAGGCAATAAATCAAATGATCATATTACAATACATTATCTCCTGTTTACTTCCATTACAATAGACATTCCAATCACAGAGTTACATAAGAGCTGTTTGTGTTTAATACAAAGATGTTCAGGTCACAGCAGTCCTATGGAGGATATACATACTGTACACTAGATCTAATGTGTGAGAGAGCATGGGTCCGGTGACAGTGCTCTCAGGTGTCATCAGGTTGACTTTCAGGGCGGGGTCCTATCTTCCTCTGAGAAACACTCAAATACTGACCTGGAAAATGAAAGAATAGCTCCACACTCATGTCCTGAACACACAGTGGGAGCCGCCACTTTGCCTGATGCACTGATACAATGATGACTGTACTTGATACACTGAGTACCATGCTGAATTATTTTTATCCATATAACACTACATAAAATACTAAATATGTGACTGGTCAGAAAACATGCACTCCATCAAACTGTGTTACAGTTGGTGGTTCTCAACTCCGCTTTTATTATGTAGCCCTTTCAGTGTTTATGTTCCTGGCTGCTGTTAGGTGCAAAAAAATATCAATATTCCATTACGAAGAGGGTATTGTTGCTATATCCCTAATATTGCCTCTGGGACCAATCAAGATAGAATAAATAAATAAATAACTTTTGGTCTGAGCTTTTGCGAAGAGATTTAAAGGTGCACTATGCAACTTTTCTGGTAGGAAGCCTGTCACTTGCCTGTGAGATGTTGTTTTACATGGAATGTTCCACAATATGGAATTTAAGTTATTTGCATTTATTCAATTATCAGTGTACCTCAGAAACATGCTTACACAACTTCACACACATACACACACACACACACACACACACGCATACGCATGCACGCACACACACTCACACACACATTTCACAACAACAATCTCTCACCACAGATCAGACCTGTAACTTTGCCTGGTGGTGACACCTGCTTTGTTTCCACAAAGATGGAGAGATCAATATGGACACACACAAGCAGGTGGTTACATTGTGCACTTTTAATTTCAATACATTTCCCCTTCCTTCCATTCCAACTAATGCTTTTAAAAAAATCTACATCCATGTATGTTAAACATATTTTTTATGTTGCCTATCTGTCTGAGCTGGGGACAGGCACTAAGAGTTGACTTCAGGCTTGTGTAGAACATTTAATTTCAGCTGCATCAGCACAATTTGATTAAAATAGTCAAATGTAAAAATAAATAAAATATATATTTCTGTTTCTGGCCTACATTTTTTTTATTTGTGATTTTTTTAGTTTAGTTTGTCATCTTTCAGCTTTATGTGGGACAAGGCAGACAAGTTTATGGCGATGCTACACCCCAGCAGACTGATTACAACAGCACAAAAGTGGTTACGTCGGACCAAAGTTGAACACCTGCTGACCTTTAGTGATACAGCCTGTGAAAGATTAACAAAGAAACTGTATTGGTCCTGAAAGTGCAAAAAGTCACTCAGTGTCAAATAGTGTCACAAGCTTCTTGTTGTATCATTTAGTTAAATAGTGCAAATCACATTTTTTTTGTGTCTTTAAATGATAAAACTGAGAACAAGAACAAGAACTGTATTTGCATTAGTTTAAATCTCAAAATCTAACACTGGAGTGGATTTGGAGGCGAAGGCACTGCTGGAGGTTCTGGCATGTAGGAAACACTGGCAGGTGTAGCTAAAAGGCACTTTCACCCCAGGTCTTTTTAGCCTCAGCTTTAGCCCAGAGAGAGAGAGTGGGAGAGAGAGTTAGACAGAGTTAGAGAGGGTATAGTGCCCCCAGCACATCTCCACTGACCTACATTTCATCTGTCGCCTTTTTCCACTCATTTTTTCATCACTTTTTTTCTTCTGTACTAACAGCTCTATAATTGTGATGTAATGACCAAAGCAAGTGTGACTACATCCCAGACTGGTCAGGGGGGCAATGCTAAAAAATAAAAAAGAGGAGACTGAGTACAAAAGTTATAACACCAGGATATAAAAGATCAATGAGGTGACTTAAGGATAAGACTATTAAACACACAATCAATTCCATTAAATTGCTCAGCACAAAGTTATACTTCCCAGACCAACTCTGCTAAGTAAGCATAATTATAAGAGAACTGATAAATTTTTACATCATATCAAACAGACAAAATTTAAACTAAATGACAGCGATAAATACCTCTATTGTTTTTGGGCTATAACATGATTTGATTTGGGAGACATCTTAACTTAGACAACCGTAAAATCTCTTAAAGATAATGAGTTTGCCAACATCCCAGTAACAATGCATTTGAAATATATTGTACAGCCCTTTTAAACACTTGAAAACAATGGTTTCCTCATCTCTCTTTGACAAAGCCATAAAACATGTCCTTATATGATCTGTGTGGAGCCCGGACTCCAATCCATCGGAGGGCTGGGGACTCCATTAAGAAGGATTACCCCTCTCTGCCAAGTATTCTCCCAAGGCAGCGAGCTTAGATAGCGCCGACTTCGGATACATTGTTGAGTGAGAATGAAGAAGAAGAAGAGATAGAGTGGTAGTGGTTTTGGTGCCATAGCCAAGGCAGTTCTGTCCATATGGTGGCATGGAGGAAGGGAGCAGGCGTAGCAGACCGGGCCATGCCTAAGGGCTGCACTCGGAAAAGGAGAGAAAGCTTTGTACCAAGATGGGATGCTATGTCCTTCTGTCTTTATGTCTGCTCCTATTGGATCCACTTCATAATGTAGTGTCTTTCACCGTCTGTTTGTTTACCTGCTATATGAGTGAAGGATCCTGTTAGAGGAGTCAGGTCAGTGTTTGAGTTATATTCTTGAAAAGGTCAAAACCACTTTCAGTATGTGATGTCACTGTGTCCTAACATATATGGCACTTCCAGCTCCTACTGACCCTGGCTCCCATTGATTTACATTGGCTCCCATTGACTTACATACTGTTGCCCTTCTCTCTGTAACTGCTGCTATGAGGCTTGGCATTTTGGTCTTAAAATGTTTGTATTAACCCACTCCACATGATCCCAGTGTTTTTCTTTTGCAATTTTGTCTGTTAAAAAATCCTAATAAGGAGCCTGGCTCCAAATTCACCCCTATAACCACCAG